GCGTAGTTTTATTTATAGATTCGGCTTGTGGGCAGGAGCTGACAGCCATTCAGTTTGGTTGCCTGCTTGTTCTCTAACTTTGTTGATAAAAGTATCCCCAGACGAAGTGACCGTTAGTTAAATATGTGTATATTATATATGTACATATACATATACATACATATATACATCCATGAATGCTTGTATATGTATGTTTACATGCTGGCTGGTGTGTCATGCATATGAAAATAAACATACATATACACATGCATACATGTATAAGCTTATATGTACATACGCATATGTGTATGTAGGTAATTCGAATAAATGTATACATATATTGTATGTATGTAAGTGTAATTGGCATATACCTTCTAGAACTGTGGGCTTATCTTCATTGGATGTTGCAGTTGCAGCTCCAGCTGCCGCTGTAGATGATGAAGCGCCCGATGGACTACGCTGGCGTTTGTCCATCTTCTTAGTGGAGTTGCGTGTTCTCTTCCACTTCTCCAGTTTGGCGAATGTGGCTTTCTATTTGGTTTGCGTTTGGTCAAGTTGAATTTCACAATGCTCTCTGCTGCCGACGCTCAGCCTCAGCAGTGAGCAGCAACAAGTTTGTTTTTGCAGCCTTCTTTTAATTGGGAACTTTGATTCAATTTTAAGGCTTCTCTTGCGTTTTCAATGGGGCACAATTTGTTCGCTAGCTGCCACAGCAAAATCAAAATAACAGAAACAACAAACGTCTTCGCTTGCGCTGTAATTACCCCGTTGTCGAGACTATGAAATGCGAGTGTTCGGCGCAAATGACGTTTTGATAAATAAAATTTGTGGTTGCTGGTGGTCGTGGTCGACGTCGTCGTCGTCGTCCAACCGCGCAGCGAAGCGCAGGCGAGTTGTGTAGTGCTTGTAACTGTGTGTGTGGTTGGTGTGACGTTGGCATGAATCAGACTGTGGACGCAACGTCTACACGCGTGATTGAGTTCGACACAATAGTTATTAAAAACCCTGAAATTAGCATTTGTTTTGTTTTTTATGCAATTATATTGCTACGCGCGGGCAGCACCGATGTCTAAGCAACTCTGTAATTGCCAACGATATTAGTATATCGATTTGTAAAACCAAATTAAGGCCAATAACAGTCAATTTTACAAGATCACTCGATAGCTCGCCTATCGTTGCGCTGAATTTCAAAAGTTTATGAAACAAAAATTTATGGAAGTTTCTAACGCAAAATCTATCATTACAGTTTAAGAATGGTCATAAAATATTGAATTGCCAGTAAAGTCATTCTTTGAACTAAATTTCTTTAAAATAAACGCTATAGGATTTGAAGTAATAACCACGAATATCATAATGTGTTAGCATTAATCACTATTGAAACGTATTTATTTATCTTGCTGCCATGGCAAGCATATCGATAGTTATCGATAGCAGAAAACAGACAAATATCATACTACATACAGAACGTACCTTACTTTCGATAAATAATCTAAACCTCGGAACAAAACGTAACAATTTTGGATTTTTATTTTATGTTGCATAAACCTGAATTAAATTATTTATTACAGTGCCATAAAATGCGTTTGCTTAAGGTGGGCAGTCGTATGACGGCGTTGCGTGCGCGTTTAGACGAAAAATTTACTTTGCCGGCCCGCTTCAAGGGCACTGTCGTTGAGAAGTGGGCGAACTACTGGAAAGGACTTCTGCGTGACTACTCCGAAGTGGGTCTTGGTGTTATCAAGGAGTCTTATGCGAAGCCCAAGAAATCGCTTGCCTACGGCACAGGCATTGTCGCTCTCTACCAGATGGCCAAACACAATCCAGACGATCTCACCTTCTTGACGTTGATGCGCAACTACACAAACCGCATGATAACACTTCCACCGGCCCAGCAGAATCCAGAGTCAGCTGCATACCTGATTATGCTGGAGCGTGCCATCAACCAGAAGAAGCTGCGCCTACTCTCGCTCGGTTTCTTCACACTAATGTGGGTCGACTTGTACGATGAGGACGATTGCACCTACCCGGCAATCTGCGAATACACGACAGTGGGCTATACAAATTTCTACGAGCGCATCATCGACGTGGGATTCTGGAATGAGTTCTGGCGCCTCAAGTGGAAGATGCGTAACTACGACATCAATTATTTGTGATGCTGTTACCTTGAATGCTCCATTTAGTGATCATGCCTGTTACCTGTTTAGTTATGTTTAATATCAAAAAATTTACATCTTTTAAAGAACAAAACCGCTAAATAGTACAAAATATCATTTGTAATGTTAAAACTCATGCCATTTTAAGAAGCGGCTGCCAGATCTGGGTTCGTTTTCTTTGGCTTGAAATAAGCCTCCAGCAGAGCGTTGCAATCCTGAAGCTTGGCTAGATTTGTGATCTTGCCCTGGTAGTTGTTCTCCTTGCCATTGCCCTTGCCTTCAAGCAGGTCCATAAATTGTGGCCCGAACTGCTCCACCAGCGACGGCTGCCCGCGCAGTACCATATGCCCTTTGGCTGAGCTGCCACTGGAAACGCCCTCAGAGACGGTGAGGAAGTAGAATATTTCCTCGGGGGCGTTCCGCAAAAATGTGTTGATAAAGTCTACTTCGATGCCATCACGTCGATGCAGCGAAAAATATTTGGGTCGTGCAGCTTTGGGCAGATTCTCCAGACGCTCAGCTTCTGCATTGGCGAAATCCTTAAGCAGCTGTTGAAACGCTTTTCGTGTGGATTTTATATTTTGATGCAGCTTTTGCACAAGCTCCAGATGCTGCTGTGGGCCACCCCTAAAACATTTGGATTCATTAAAAATAGTTTATCTTGCGAAGGGGCTTCTTACTTAAGCGCCACTGTGAGCTGTTGCTCACGTGCGAAGACCTCTCCAAGCTTCCTCAATGCTCGCTCGCCTACAACGAAGTAAACCAAAACATTTGTCTTGACTTTCTCGGCGTAGAGCAGCTTGATGCACTGCAGCTGCGACAGATTGGTAACGTGTGTGCCGCAGCACATGTTCGATTCGATGCCCTCGATGCGCACAACACGTGCAAGTCCCTCGTGATCCTTGGGCAGTCCACGAGGTGCGCGTGCATCCTGAAATTCTTGCGCAACTTCTGGATCTACGAGCAGCACGCTGACAGCGCGACCCTCGCGAATTAGATCATTGGCTTGTCGCTCAATTAAGTCGAGGGACTCACGGCTAATCAGATGGGGAGTGCTTAGCTGTATGTGAGAGACACTGCTACCCAGCGACCAAGACGTGGTGTCATACTTGAACTCTCGATCAAACAAGGCGGTTATCAAATGTTGACCGGAATGTTGTTGCATGTGGTCCAGGCGTCGGGCCCAATCCAAATGCTGCTGAACCTCGGCACCCTCCTCAAAGCTGGTCGGCGACTCCACAAAGTGAACTGCTGTGCTTCCCTTTCGCACGACACTACGCACCGGTTGTCCATTGATGGTGCCGTAGTCGCAGGGCTGGCCTCCGCCCTCTGGAAACAGAATGGTATTCTCGCAGATTACATTAAAGCCGCGCAGTTTTCGCGGCTCTGTGCTGCTGTCCTCTCCGGTCCACTCTAAAGTGGCATAGTCGCAGGAGACGACGGTCGTCCGGAACTGTCAACGTTAATGTAGTTCACTGCATTTACAGGGAATTTTTGGTGCTTACCTGTTTCAGGAAGCTGTCTTCTTGGCATTTGAAGACCATGTTGCCTGCAGCAGTTTGCTTGGGTTAATTATGAAATCTTTTGGCAACTGATGCAATTTACAGCGCCTGTAAGCGGCGCCAACAACAAAAACAAATATAGTCGCTAAATATCGTAACGTGAGGTTTATTACTGCTGCGCTTATTCGATATATTACGTTACTATTGCTTTCGTGACGATTGTTGAATTATTTTTCTACGTATTGAACATATGATTTTGCTTTAAGAGCTTGGGTAGTTTTATGTTGACATTACGTTTAGAAAATGTATTTATTTTGTACAGATTACGCTGATTAGCTGTTATACTTACATATGTATGTTTGTTTGTTTTCCGATAACGCAGTAACGGTTGTAGCTGTTTACGAATTTGAGAATTCGTTGCGCACATGTAAAATCATATGCCAATCAGCTGTGCTTCTTAGTGGTGGTTGTAGCTTAATTTGTTGCTGGCCATTTCTCTGTTTTGGCCTTTTCTATTTATACAAAGCGTTCCCAATTCAGAGCATCAAGCGCCCTCCATTGCTGCCGTCTCGCTCTAACTGACGTTGCCTGCCATCATGTATCCTGGTTGTAGACTGCGCGCGCGCTCAATTGAGCAGCAGAGCTCAGTGAGTGCGACTCCTGGTGTTCATCCCGTCTGCTCAACAGTTTCTTGTCATCGTCCTGCAGTTCCAGCAGTGCGGCGCACGTCCTTGCGTCCCGTTGTTAGACCTTAAGTTGATTAGCTTGTATTAGCTGTACATACATACATACAAAGATAAGCACGTACGTTCATAACGATTTATGTATGTATATGTACATAATATGTATATATATATGTATAATAT